CGTCGACGTCACCATACTACCACGCCCGCCCGAGTCACCGACTCTCGGTGAAGTGCCCGCGAGCCAGCGCGGCACGCAAGACGCGCTGGGAAGTCACCGCCGCGGCCGCGTCGGTCGCACCAAACTAGTTGGCCGCGCTGCGTGACAGCACCAAACAATCATTGCAATCGCCGCCGCATGGGCGTTGCAAACTAGGTTGCGGGTGGGCGGCTGGGATGATTGCGCGAGCAGCGGAATTGACCATCACAAACTCTGAAAGGATAAGCATGCTTCCAACTTGGCCTCTCGCGCGCGCGTCGAAATCGTTCGAATTCCCTTGCGCGCGTGCCGTCGCAAGAGCCCCTTTTGCAAGACAACGGTACGCAGTGCACGCGCGCGCGCCGTCGCGCGCGCATTCCGTTATCCTTGCGAAACCTCAGGTGCCGTAAGGATGTCCTAATCGAGTGCCCCGAAAACATGTACAACCACATGGTTTTGCAACATCAGCTTGCAAAAATCCCGCGCTCGCGGCCACGCGGACTCTTGAGAAGACCACATGTTCCAACATGTTCATCAAAGCCTGCCGAACGAGCCTGCTGCGCCGCACGTCGAACTCATTCGGACGCACTTGCACGCGCGCTGGGAGGGGGCGCGATCCGCGTCATATACTACCACGCGGGCCAATCGCGCGCGTCGGCCGCGCGCGCACGTCAAACTCCTTCAAAAAACCATCGTCGCCGGACGCGAGGACGTCGTCCTCGCTATAGACGGGCGCGATCAACATGGGCGCCGTCATTGGCCTCGCCGTCGCCATCGCCCGTCACCTTCGTCACCATCGCCACTCGCAGAATCGCGTCTGCCGTCGTCGGCGTCGCCATGATACCGCGCCCGCCCAAGTCACCGACTCGCGAGTGGCCGCCGGGAAGTGCTCAGCCGCCAGCGCCACCGCAGCCGCGTCGGTCGCGCCAAACGATCTGCCACTGCGCGCGCGGGCACGCGCGGGCTCGCGCGGCCACGGAGATGCACCAGCTAACGCCAAGCACTCATCGCAATCGCCGCCGCATGGGCGCTCTAAACCAAGCTGCGGATGGGCGGGCGGGACGAGCATGGAATGCGCCAACCTTTTTTGCGCAAATCAGTTGCACCACATCGAATGCTCACAACAGATACACAAGGTAATGCACACAACGTGGTTGCGCCACGTCGATTGCACCACATACGTCGTCTCTTTAAAAGAATTAGGATCTACCCCCCCCCCCCCCCCCGGACTCCACGGCACCTTCTGTCGCATTGCAACTTGCACGGGATGATGCCCCGTCGTCCGTCCCAAATATGAATTCGGACCATCCCACGCAGGCTGGCATCGCACCCGCCCGCGCCCTTTGCCTGGAAAATTACGCGCGCATTCGTTATCAAGAATCCCCCGCACATGAAAGACAAAGCGCACGCGCGCGCGTCGTCGGCCGAGCATGCCAGAAGAAAAAATGCGTTGCACCCAGGGCCCATTCAACAAAAAACCTGCGCCTGGGCCGTTGCGAATTCAAAATAACCGTCGTTTTTTCCACACGTTCGCCCAACGCTACCAAGCAGGCCTCTCGCGAGCGCACGTCGAGATCGCTCGCGCGCCCTCGCGCACGCGCTGCAGCAAGAATCCCCTGCAACAGAAAATACTGAACGAAGCTCCAGCGCGCGCGTCGTCGCAAGCGCGCGCCGAAATCCTGGAAACCCGTCGGCGTCGCAAGAAGCACAAAAACGAAAACCCTGAAAAGCACGGCGTTGCAACGCCTGAGCGCGCGCCCCAGCGAATTCGAGAAAACCACAAGTATGTTCAATATTACCATCACCATGAACAAAACGGGCCTCTCGCGCCGCATGTCCAACACACCCAAACGCCCTTGCGCGCCTGCTGGAAACGCGATTCGTGCCACAAAGAAACCGCGCGGACCCCTCGCGCGCGTCGGCCGCGCGCGCACGTCGAACTCCTTCAAAAACCGCCATCGCCCCTCGGCATCGGCGGGCGCGATCAACATCGGCGCCGTCATTGGACTTGCCGTCGCCATCGTCACCAACTTCACCATGATTGCTACTCTCCTGTTCGCGCCTACCGTTGTCGGCGCCGCCGCGCTACCTCGCCCGCCCGCGCCATCGACTCGCACTGAAGTGCTCGCTGGAGATGCCACGCAGCCAGCGCCACGGCCGCGTCGGCCGCGCCGCACTAGCTGGCCGCTGCGCGCGCGAGCATGCGCGGGCTAGCGCGCCCGCAGGCATGCACCAGCCCACGCAAAGCACCCATCGCAATCGCCGTCGCATGGCTTTTGCAAACTACATTGCGGGTGGGCGGGTGGGATGTTTGCGCGAGCAACGGAGTTGACAATTTCAAATTCGGCAAGGAAGATTGCACCGCGTAGAGTTCCCTGCTGTAAAAATATTATGATTTACCTCCCTCCCAGGGTTAATGGTGCACCTATTCGCATTGCAAGTCACGCATGATTCTGTCCCATCGCCAACCCGAACTATGATTATATACCATTCCCGCCAAGCCCGTGCCGGCACCGCCCCTCATCCTCTGCGAAAAATTCTATGCGCTTGCACCCGTTTATCAGAAATCATCCGTTTCCAAGAATCCCCTTCAACAAATGGAACTAAGTGCACGCGCGCACGTCGCCGCGAGGGCATGCCGAAATCGCTCGAGGGCGACGAGTCGCCGAAATACCGCCCCGAGAAGCCCACAACGGCTTCCAGACAGCCTCCGAAGCCCCCAAGACGACCCAAGAGGCCCCCAAGAGGCGTCCCACGCCAGCCCCAAGAAGCAGAAATCGCTCATTTCTACCACATTCGCCTCTAACGGTTTCGCAACGCCCGACACGGGCCACGACACCGCCAACTGCCGAGAGAGGTTTCAGAGGGCCCAAAGACGGCGCAAGAAGCGCCCAAAACGGTCCAAGAGGGCCTCCAGACGGCTCCAAGAGGGAGCCCGGAGGGCAATGTTGACGCCCTTTGGCTCCGAGTTCCCCCCAACCTGCTGCACGAGCCTCCCAAGAGGCTCCCAGGGGGCGCCAACCGAGGCCCAGAAGGCCCCCAACAGGCTCCCAGACAACCCCCAAGAGGCCCACACTATCTCCAACATGCCCCCCTGACGCCTTCTTGACTCCTCCTCCTGACTCCTCCTCCTGACTCCTCCTCCTGACTCCTCCTCCTCCTCTTCTTTGACTCCCCTTCCGTCCCCCCACCATTTTGCCCCTGCTCCTCCTCCTCCTCCGCTTTCACCTTCTTTGCGTTCCCCCATTCCTCGGCTTCGCCCCCCCTCTCCCTCGCACCCCCGCTGCTCCTACTTCTACGGGCCATGGCACGGGCGCCCTACTCGCATCCTTTGCATGCCTTGCATTGGAAGGTGCCATTCTTCTCGTCACGCGCGACATTGCTCGCGTTCACTGAGAAAACCGACTTCGGCAACTCCCCCCGGCACTTGCCACTGCAATGAAGAGGCTGCCAACTGCGCGACGTGAACCCGTCGGCAATGCTATCTGCGCATACAACTTTACTCTTCCTCGTGACGTGCTCGCTCTCCTGTTTGGCGCGAATGAGCTCCTGTCGAGCGAACTCTTTCTTGCACGCTGCGCGCGTCAGCAGTCGCTTCAACCGGTTCGACTCAACGGCCACACCCTCCAAGCCGGCCCCAACGCGGACCCAAGAAGGGAACCCCGAACCGAAAATTCGAGCCTTCCGCCCCAAGACGCCTCCAAACACCGAAAAGCACAATCAAAAACGCGAGCTCAGCTAAGGGGTCGGCGGATGCGGCGTAAAAGCCTATAGAGTCGTCGCACGCGGCTCGACCGCGCCCTCGGCAGTTGGACCGGCGGCGATGCGCGTTCGGCACAACCTTCGGACGTAGTCTTTGAAATCCTCTGGAACCTAAGCAGAACAGTCACGAACCGAACTGAGCTGTATCAGGCTGGCGCACGGCACCTCAACCATAATGCGGAGTTAACAAGGACGTGCCCTGCCAAAAAGGTCCGAGCCCAAGTTGCTCGAGGAGAAGGAGGAGGAGGGAGGGGGGGAGGAAGAGAGGGAGGGGGGGGGAGGGAGGGAAGAAGGGAAGAAGATGGAGGAGTAGCAGCAAATATAAGAAGAGGAGGAAGAGAGGAAGAGCAGGGGGACGACGACGAGCGGGTGGGAAAAAAAGCAGGATGAGATGAGACAAAGGAGGCGCAAGAGAAGCCGCAGCAGGCGGGGGGGGGAGGAGAAGGAGGAAGAGGAGGAGGAGCCCACGCCTCAAGGGGAGCCCCCATCCCAGCCGCATCGCTGCCCTAGGCAGCACGGGGCGCACCGCCCGCGGCCCGCGCGGGGCCTGTCCTCAGGCCCTCCTCCGTGGAGTCGAGCTGGTCGCCGACGGCGTCGCGGTGGAAGCTGGCGACGTCGGACGACGAGCCAGCGACGGCAGCGCCGTCATGAAGAAAGGCACCAGATTCTGGAACAGGGCCAGCAGGACGATCGACGCCGACGCTGTCCACGGTGGGCACTTCTCCAGGATTTGCCAGAACCAGAGCAGTAATGTCCGCACGCTGGCCATCAGGGTCTCCTGTGTCCACAAGAAGAGCAGCAGAAGCCATAACCACAGACTGGGCCGCAGCGAGGTCGTTGTCCGCATCCTCTTCTGCTTCCAAGAAGTGAACCAGTACGTCCTCATCGTCCTCACTCAAACTCGAGGCGCCATTGTCTGAAGAGGCCGCTACAGCAGGCGGCGAGAAAGAGGCGGTAGCAGCTTCATCAGGAGGTACATCATCACCAAGAACAGCACTGCCTGGGAGTTGGGCATCCGCATCAAAAGCCTCGCCATGCTGTCCGATACCATGGGGAGCCTCTGCAGGTAGCGGCGGCACGCCCGTAGGGCTGGTCGGCCAGGAGACGCAAACACGATTGGTGAGTCCATTAACCCGCGGGCGAGCAGCACTTGAACTTTGTGTCCCCTGTTGAGAGGGCCGAGCAGAGCCTGACCCAGATTGGTTGTCACTTACGCCCACCGACTCCTGCAACTCGAGGTAAAGACCGCCGCCTTCTCCACCACCCAATACACTGTCAGGGTTCTGAAGCATCCAGATCACCAGGCACCGCTGCTCGTCCGAACGCTCGAAGTGTTCGTTCAGGAAGTCCACCGCGTGCGTCACCTGTCGTTCTGAGAGCAGCTCTGAAGATCTCGCGGCCAATCGAGCGGCAAACAGGGCATCACGCACCGCAGCACTCCAATGCCGAAGACTATTGAGGGCATCTGCACTCGCCGTAGCTGAAGCCGACGAGGCAGCCGCCTCTATGGGCCCCGTGGGGGAAGCGTCTACCGTAGGGCCTGCCATCGTCCGCCTCGCAGCCCCACCCACTGACCCATCTGGATAGGTAACCCCAAGCCCATGCGCCGCCATCGTCTCGTTAAAGCCGTCGTCGGAGGAGCTGGAAGAGGTGGACTCCCGCATTTCTTCAGGAGAGAGAGGAGAAGCAGGTGGTGGCCTCGAGGATGAGGCCGTAGGGTCAGACGGCCCACCTGTGTCCACCCCCGAGCGACGCAGTGCAGCCTGAACTTGAGCTTCGAATTCCTCGGCAGTTAACACCGGCTCAACATGATGTGAATATTCATCGGCCGTCATCTCCTTGTCATCGCCAGGAGAAGCCTCCATGTGCTCCATGTCCATGTCCGTGGGCTCAGGGTAGCCAACGGAGTCGACGCTGCGGTTGTCCTCGTCAGGCGGGCACAGGGCATCAGCGTCGACACAGTCGCCCCCCTCTGGCACAAGGTGCGGCAGGAGGCGCGTGAGCGGGTCGAGCGACAGCGGAGGCCCAGACGGGAAGACCTGTCGCACCCGCAGGATGTCAGACTGTTCTGCTTCATTCATACGCATTCATACACGTCAAGTCTGCAGCCCAGCCCCGTTGCCGAAGATGTGCGAGGGCGCGCTGCCGAAGGGTGCGGAGACGCCGATGATCATGGATGGGCCACGGTTGACGGAGGTGCTGGCGCGCCTGTTCCCTGGGGATAAGCTGACGAGTACGAGCCACTCATACACAGTTCGATCGCCGTATTCCAACGCTCCGAGGTGCAGGTCACAGCACCCAGGGCCCCGCGCGAAGAAGAGCTGAAGAGAGACCGAAAGTCACTATAGCGTAATACGTCTGCCACGTAGGGAACACACCATTCCATCCATTGCTGGAAGTCATACCCAGAAGAAGAAACATACAGCGAAGGCAACCACTGCTCTGCCCAACGAGAGATAGCATCCAGCAGCAGACGGCGCCGATGTTCTTGATCACATTGCACTCCCTGTGGAACGTGTCGCGTCAGCGGGTCCTGGGCAAACAGCAGGTCCTGCTCAAGGGGGACACCACAAGACGGTGGAAGCCATGCAGCAATCGAACGAGTAGACCTGACAGGGCACGATCCCTCAGTCACTGCTTCGGACGAGCTAGGATGCACGGCAAGGTGCGCCTGATGCTGAGGCCAGCATCGTATGTGCATGTGTTCGTCCGCAGCTTGCCTCAATGCCAAAACCCGCGTTGATTCGGCCGTGTCCCATGTTGTCGAGAGGTGATGGTATAGCCGAGTCCTCCCAACCGACGAAATGTGCCACGCAGCATGGCTCATGCTGGAGCCGAGGGTGCACCTCTCCTGCATCGTCCCTACAGGGGTAGCAAACAGCCCACAGAAAACCCAGTATTGAAGCACGCGGCTGGAGAACTCTGCACCCCATTGCATCCAGTCGTCGAAATCGCTGCAGCCGCTGGGTTCCAAGAAGAGCGATGGGACCCAGTTCCGCGCCCAAGACTCCAGCAGAGCAGCAAATTGTGCCAACCGGCGCAGCATGATAGGGCCAACTCCAGTCGGCGGCATAGCAGAAAACCTGACCTCCCCAAGAGCATCAGGGTAACGTACACGATGCGGTAGAGTGTCGTGAAGGAAGCGGCGTCCGACCGGCAGCATATTCAGAAGATCGACCCACCGTGGATGCTCGACCGATGGTAATTCGAGACAAATAGCAGGCAAAGGGCTGGATGGCTCTGGTGGGCGGCGCGTGATCCTGGCGCGCCCAGCCAGCGGCGAAGCCAGCGCACGTGTCCGCACTGCGCCTCTCAGCGCAGTGAGCAGCAGCTCGGGAGGGACGCGGTGCAGGTGCCGAAGACCATGATACGCGATAGTGGCAAGATGTGTGTTCATCAAATCCTCGCCGAAGCAGCCGCGGAGACCCCAACGATCAAGAACGTTCGAAGGTAAGTAACGACGTCCTCCTGACTTTACCATGGCGAGTCCCCATGCAAGCCCACGACATTCCCAATAATGTGCCAAGTCGTCTCGCTCGCCACAGCACCCAAACAAGCACGGCTTGACACCAGACGCAGACGTAATGCGAGACGAGGTTAACCAACCGCCACAGAACGCACGAATAATGCTGGTGGACCAGGCTACGGGGTATGTCGACATCTTCTTGCGAAGGGCGCCCCAGTCCAGCGCCTTGATCTCGCTGCCGAAGTGCGGAAACCATTTAGTCCACCGTTTGGTGAGGGTGGTGACCAAGGGCGAAGTGCAAGTGGACTGCAACGGCTGATGTGCGCCAACATACTCAGTTGATAAAGCCTGGTACGCAATCCGCTGGGCACGCTTTTTGATTGAGATATCCCCCGACCAGGGCATGGTGGACGGCCGGGCACCTGACGACGCTGAGACCTTGCAAGCGTCCGACAGAAACTCGACGAAAGACGGTAATTGCCAGAAAGAGGGCGAAAGTCCGCCACTAAGATCAGCCAAGACGCGCTCAGTAATCCACCTCGATGGTGCTCTTTTCAGGTATGCCAGATACGATGCATGCTCAGGATGTGTAACCATCCCAGATCGGACGAGCGCAGACTTCGCTGACATGGCCAGGCATCGAAGGCGAGGCCCACCCCAAGCGCCGAGCGCATGAAAGTCAGCCTGCCTCAAGGCTCCACCAGGAAAGCGCATCAGCTTCACGAGCACATGTATGTCATGACTCTTCAGCTTCTCGGGGAGCGGAAGGAATTGTGCCACATAGCCCATGATGGGTAGGCATCTTGTAGTGTAGTTGATGCCGTTTGAGCTCGAAGGCGCCGCAGAGGCAGCGAGGGCGCTGACTCGAGCTTGGTACTTATCCCATGGCGCCGACCACGACTGAAGGAGGGATGCCGCTGGCCCCATCCATATCCCCAGGTACAAAAGAGTGTCTTCGACTTTGAAGATAGACCAGTCCGCTAGCTGTTGCTGCAGGCGGACATGCACACGCTCCCGAAGCTCAGCCGAGAATGGTCCTGCCAGTGGGACAATCACACACTTAGCTGGTTTGAGCTTCAAGCTGGCCAGCTTGGCTGCCCCCGCCATTGCACGCGATAAGAATTTCAGATCGATCATCTCGAAGAGCACACCCCCCGATGTCATCAGCATACGCAAGAAAGACACCTCGCTGTCGAAGCTCGACCCCCTGCCTGATGTCTTCCAAAATCGGCGAAGTCGCCGCCGCAAACAACCTCCCAGATAAGGCGCAGCCTTGAATGATGCCGCACCAGATACGGAAGGGGGCCTCAGTGACCCCTGCAGCTCTGCCCAAGGCAGTGACGATCGAATAGAGAGAGCGCATCGCCTGTAGTAGGGCTGACGGAAGCTGCTGATGGTCAAATAGTAAGAAGAAGAAGAAGAAGAAGAAAAAGAAAAAAAAAAAAAAAAAAAAAAAAAAAAAAAAAAAAAAAAAAAAAAAAAAAAAAAAAAAAAAAAAAAAAAAACTGGCCGAGGCTGGGGAATGCCTGTCCAAAATCCAGCGCCACAAGAAGCGGCATCCTCTCCAGCAGGTTGGGCATCAGCGAGGCGGCTCTGGCTACCACGTCGAGTTCAGGAATATTTGAAGTGAACTGTCGGCCAGAAATAAAACCACGCTGCGCAGCGGATGTGGAGCTCTGCACTATGGGGGCGAAGGCGGCGTTGAGAGTGGCCGAGATAACTTGCATGTCCGTGTTGCGTAGCCCAAGCGTGCGCACTGCGTCAGGGGACCTGTTGACCCCTCTGCCGTCATCGTCACCAGCTTGACAGCCTTTAGGAAGAAAAACTTGAAGAGTGTCTCCGCACTGCGCGGGTCCCACCAGCCCTCTGGGCGTCGGTGGTTTAAAGCGTTTCCTCTTCCACCCCTCCTTCTCCCCCTTCGGGGAGGGGTTTCCCCCTCCCCCTACCCCCTCCCCACTGACCTGGACAGGGGGGGCCGCGATCGGTCAGAGCGTCCAAAACGGCCTCGGCGAGGAAGCCAAAATCATTCCCTTTCCCGTGAACTGCATCATGTTGTAGTCGCTCCATTTCCAGCTCAGCCGATCGATGCTGAATAGTGTCCACCCAGGCTTGAAACGCTGCATAGTCCGTGATGATGACCTGATTGCCTTGTACCTGCAAACACGATCTCGCAACTTCAGAGGCCCGGCATAACTTCTGAGCGAGAGTGGCGTTCTGCCTCAGACACACCGAGCGGCTCGACGAACAAAAATCAGATGGGCCTCCAGGGAGTCACTCTCGTTGACCAAGATACTCTGCATCGTGTCGAACGCCGCAGCTTGAACCAAGTCTTTGCAACGTAACAAGTGCCTCGGTGGCGACATGCCCAAGAAAAACTGTCAATCGTTGCCGAGATGCACGCTTAGCCGCCGCTGAAACTCAGGCCGTTTGAAGATATGCGCAGGGACGGGCTTGCAATAGCAGCTCTCCAGATCTCGATGTCGAATGTGAACCCTGATCGCCGCGCGGTCTGAAAGCCCCTTGGCGTGCATCTCCTCAGGCGTGGAAACGACCGACACGGAGTGTTGGAGTTGGCACGACATCCAATTCGGTTCAGACAGCCAGAGCCGATCGATCTGCGACATGGTCTTCGTGTCCTGGCAGTAGTGGGTCGGATCCTCAGACGCTATCTCTAACATTCGATCAAACACCGAAGACCAGAGCCTGGCGCGAGAGCGAAAGTCATTCGTAACCTTTCTTGACTTTGCTGCCGCC